GTAGTAGGGTAAGTTACTTTATTCTTGTTTCATATTATTCTTTATTTATTATTATAAAGTAACTAAAATGTAAAAGTAGGGATCTCTTTAGGTTAGTTAAGACTAGATTAGGTAAAATAAGTAATAATAATATAACTGAAATGGTTCACGAGGCATGCATGCGAGCAGCTCGTGGGTAATGTAATTCATTAGAATAACATGAGCTGCAAGCTTCCCGAGTGATTTACTTATAATAATGGGGATAGCAGTTAGACACAGTTCAAAGGGCAATAATACAATAAAATTTAATTTTAAATAGATGTATAATGTTATGAACTTAGAGCTATTTGGGATAAACAAATGTAGTTTCAGATTATAATTTGAAGTCATTCTAGAAAGAAAAGAAGGTTAATTTAGGTTTATTTAGATATTTTTCTTGGTGGTTACGAGGTTGGTCAAATTGACTGCTAAGTTTCGTGAAGATATACCCAATATATATAGAGCTATGAGTATTAAATTTATATCAACTTCAAACTTCAAAGTACAAAAGGTCACGTGACTTAGTCAAATTGACTGACCCCGTGTTGGGAGAGTTAACAAAGTTTCGAATGTAACTCTGTAAAAAAAAAAGAAAAAGGTTGTAACATTCACACTTTAACTCTCTCAACACGTGCTTGGTCACCTCTTTGTACTGGTTTAGTCTTTATAGATTTAATACTACTAACTTTTAATATAGTATATACATCTTCAAAAATTTGGTAGACTTTCAGTTAACATTATGTCTTTCACATACAAAAAATCTTATTTTTTAGTGAAGTATTTATAAATATACTAAAAAAGATTTGTCCAAGTATTTGTTTTGAATAGTCCATGAGCAAAGACAATTTTATAGAGAGTAATTTATGTTTAATTTCCTACTTTTTGGAGGGGTGGTGGATAAAATAGTGAAAATGACATGCTAAAAGAAAATGTGTCATGTGGGTCACACTAGGGGAAATTCAGGATTTTTTAAAATATTCTCTTGTATAATTAAGAACTTAAAACTTGTATACTAATAAAATATGGATTGTCAACTAAGATTTTAGGCTATATTAATTGGTATAACATAAACAATAAGTAGATTAATAAAATTTTGAATGTAAGACACTAAAACCATGTGCCATGCACAGTAAATGATGCCCATGGCAATAGGGTTAATATGCACTTTATGTAGTTTGTGAGAATTGGAGGACTATAAAATTAAATTTGTATATCATCATAACTCCTTTTAGAACTTTTCTTGCTTTTATTTTTCAAATATTTTATTCACAGTGGCAATCATTTATTGCTATTGATATCAATAAAACCTAAAGTGTTTCAGAAACAGTGGCCTTATTTCCAGTATATTAGAACTATACAATGAAATATCCTCATACTGCAAGTTTGAATTGGTCATACATATATATATCCCTACAAGCTCCATATAAAATATATGTTACTCACTAAAATGTGCATGTAACTTCAGTTAAGTAGATTGTTATGTATGGGACTCAGACCAATTTCAAGATCATGCAATAATATACATCTTATTTATGAATAAACTTACCTTCCAGATGTGTTGCCTCTTCCATTACAAAACCACCTCTTGCACACATTACACTGTACTACACAGCTTGGATCATGAATCCCACAATATCTAAAAAACAACAACTAAATTATTACTGGATAAAAAACATTGCAGGACATAGCATTCAGTCACTGGTCAAAAAACAAACTTTTTTGTCTGTGACTGGACTCATTTACATATTCTTGGTCACGCTGACTTGTGTAATATTAACTTAGCTAAATGTTAAGCAGTTACTTTCCTTTGATAATTCACTTTAAACTTATAATATTTAAACATCAGATCAAAATATACATAGCTTTACAAGATACATAAAAAATGTGACACAATGTACACCACACCTAATATTATCAAAGACTGATTGTATAACTCGTGCAAACATTGTCCCATAACTTATTAACTACTTTAAAAGCTTTTTGGACCCTAAAATGAAGCTTTATGTTCCAAATTAAATTATTTGCTAGAATTATTAGTTATTGGAAAACCAAATATGAAAGAACTTGCAAGGAGAAAAAACAAATTATTACCTTTCCCATGAAATATGCAGTAAATCACCTGAGAGTTGTACAGTCATAAAAAAAATTAATGCTTAATTTCATTATATGAACATTATGTGCTGCTTTTGTAAGTGTTCTCCAATTTGAGCATGTCCAATGGTACATGCAGTCATTTTCATTTGATCAACATTTTAAATTAAACTGAGATAACTTAAATTTACAATGAACTATGTTTTCCAGTATTCAACACTTATACAGTACTCATATACCCATATGATTGGTCAAAAATTATTGCATTCCTGATTACATGAAACATTTCATAACCATACAAGTTTCATGATGTTGATGATATAAATAGCACCTAGACCATAGACCACTACTATGTCTGTCATATCCAAGCCACCCTGATGAGCTCTGGTATTGTGCAAAAAAGCTCATCAGCACTGGATACTGCAAATACATAGTGGTTAACATATTAGATATTCTTCCTTTCTTTCAAGCATGAATTCTAAGAATTACTAATGCTGTTTTCTCACAATAATGCTCTGGGATCACATAAACTATATTGCTGGTTTGCGAGTACTTCTGAACGACAGCAAGTAGAAATATTAATAACAAATAAATAATAATGTTATTAATCCTTGCCATAGTTCAGATTTGTAATTAGCTTAAGTATAATTTATAATAACTATACTTCACTTACAGTTGGTGTTCATGTAACAGATTACATAAATGGTACCTAGATCACTACTATGTCCGCCATAACCCAACCAGTCAGATTAGTCTTCATGTTGGGCAAAAGGCCTAATCAACAATGAATATTGCTGAAATATTGTGGATGACATTGTTACATACTCTTCCTTGCTTTCACTCACAAGTTCTAAGAACATACATCATTTAACTAGCAGTGATCAATATTATGAAAACATTTCTATATAGCACATACGCATCAACCTTATTGTTGAATTTATCAAAGAAAGGATTGTTCCTATAAATGAACAGGTTTTGATTCATTAATAAATCAGATAATAAAATACAATAACAGAAGAATGATAGTCCCTCATCTCCCTTGTTTCTCATATGCAACTGTGCATTTGCTGTAACCAATATCTATACACACCTGACACGACTCAGTTTTAAGCAGCTCAGCCACTAAAAATAAAAATTTTATAATGAAACATTGGATACACAACTTCTATCTGAGCATTCAGATTTGCATGTTTGAGTGCTAAAACCATCCATATGATAACAAGACAATAGGGAGAAAAACCAGATTTGCAGTTTTGATTCACATTCTTTCCTACACACGAGCTGACTTTGGTCAGGATGCCAACCCCTACGTCTGACCATTAAAATCTACTGACATTCACATTGTTTCTCCTTTGGATCCTTCTTCCACTTACAAATTTAGTAGTAGCTTTGGTTCAACTTACAAAGTTTCATCATGCTGGTATTGCTTTATGAATTTACCTGTTTTGACTAATTCTACCCACATGACTGGTTATTCTCATTCAAACTTTGGAGAGACCATAACATTAAGATATCATCTGGCTTATCACTGAAGAACATTGATTGTCAACAATCTTGCTCAACATTTGGCATTACAGTCATTCCCTCCCATAGGCAGAAAAGGTATTATTTCCACAGAATAACAAAGGAACAAAAACAGCTAGAAAAAAAAAAAAAAGTCAATTTCTTAGCCACATGTTAGGTGAAAACTGCATAGCCTTAAACTAAACCACACCAATTAGGCTAAACAGCTTAAAGGTGTGTAAATATGTCACTACTAGTAAAATAACTATAAAATAGGATACAAAAAAAAGTTAATTCTTAGTACACGCAAAAAGATTACTTGACTAGTCTTTTCTCCCCCACCAGGTTCAAATGGGATGTTTGGATTAGAACAATATTAAATGTTATTATACTACACAATATAGCCATCTGTCTATAACTACCTTAAAACATGCTATAATAGCTGTTTTTTCCACTTTACTATCTTTAATTCATAACCACTTCTGGTAATATGTTTACTTACTTGCAAGCATGATCAGGCAGATCTTTTGTATAATATTGGTCTTCTTCATCTTCTTCAAATGTTAATTCACCAAAACCTTGAGTAGCAGCAGCAACATCTCTATCAAGTCCATTCTGAAGAGGAATTTCTGGACCATTTAACTGAAAAGGAATAACAAGAAATGGCAACTGTAACAATGAATTTAGTCAGTACATAAGTATTTCTGAAAATACCTGATAAAATGTGTGTGCTTTTAAAAAACAAATGGAAAAACCATGAATTTTTGTAGAATAAACAAACTCACATGAAACTACAGAGAACTAAATACAGGTAATTGAGAAATGAGCAAATTAAATGAGTCTGTACATAAACTGTTCCTTGCAGTAGTTTTGAAAATAACAATTCACATAAACTATGCATGCAGAATAATACACACCACACCCAGTTATGTAACAGCTGAGCTGTTAATTTAGGCAAGGTGATTTTATTGCATAAAATACTTTATACACATTTTGATGTCATTGTGTCTTACCAAATTATATTTCACATTAACATATAAAAAATTAAGTCCAGTTTGCAGTAACAGATATTTCAATTTGTTGCTCTTATGTTATTTACTTCCATCCTTTAACCAATTATGGTCTATTAGCATAAGAATAGAACTGTGAATAAATCGGATAAACAGAGTAAAATTTAATGAAAGTACAACACTTCACCAAGTTAACCTGGTGAAATGTTGTACTTTCATTAAATTCTATACAATTTATCAAGTTTACTTTTAATTACAACAGAGTTATATTGTTATATTGTCATCTTACTAGTGTTTTATGCATAGTTTGCTTCAATACACAATGAATTACAAAGTTAATTTTTTTTCAAGAATTGTTATGCAAAACCAAGTTTCTGTTCATTTTAAGTTGTAATGACAGCTATGCAAATGAAAACAGTTATTTTCATCCCTGCTATGTTGTCATTATTACAGTTGCTTTGGTTGTTGTAATTGTAACTTGGATTCCCAGAAGGTTTTAGAATACCACTGGCTGTTCAAAACACAAGTGCCTCACAGTTATTTCCTTAAGAACCAGATGCTTATCTAAGTGACAACTTTAACCACGAATTGGGCCAGTTAAAATCTTTTATATATTTGTAAATGTGTATTTGTAAAAGTAAGGATACTTGTATCAATGTATTTATTCTGGTCATAATATTATTGTCTATGTCATGAAAATGAACACAACCGTTTAATAATCATAATCACATAAAAGTTTGAATGCAACACTAACTATTTCCAAAAACATCTGTTTGACTCGTATCAAAATATGTTATGGCCTCAAAACATAATGAAAAAAAAAATATTGGATTATATGGCACAAGCCAAATGTGCTACTAAGTTCTGTGCAAAGAAATCTATTGCACTTGAGTTTGTTGTTTTTTTTTGCCCAAAGGATTGAGATCTATAGTTCATATATATTTCTTTATATATATTTGCTCCAGAGATGGATGATTTTGAAAATTTGGAAGGTCTAATTTTAAGTGAAATTCAGCATTAAATCCTAGGAGGAAGATGGGGAGGGAAATCAGTGAGTTTCAAATGACTAATACATTGGGTTTTGATTGTAAGTTATAATACTCATCACCGTTCTTCATTGCTGAACGAGCGCTGTAAGTTTACATAAAAATTAAGGATTTAAAATTTGCAAAGACATATAAAATTGGATATATTATAAATTTGTTAGCAAACAAACTGTATTTAGATGCTGAAGAAAAAATTTGAACAAAATGAAAGGAACTATTTGTAAGTAAGCCTACGTATTTACATTTGCTTATCTGTTATTATCAAAATGATGGATTTTTGTAGAACTCTGTTGAAACAAATATTTTTCTTAATTTTGATTTTTCAATCTAGAGAAAGCTATAATTAAAAAAAAAAATCGAAAATATCAGTGTAAACTGTTTTTAAATACTGAGATGTTTGTATTATTGATTAAGTGTTGTATATACAAGACTGTGTAGTGTAGGCATTATTATTCAATTCATTTTGCGAGTTTAATGATGTTGAGTTTTTCATAAAAAGAAAATTAAAAGCAATTATTTTAAATGCGATAGTTATGAAAAGCTTGGTTAAGTAACTTGGTAAGAGTCGTACATTGTGTCTGCAATTCACTGGTGTCGAAGCTATAGAAAATTCTAGAGGCCTCAGTAATAAACATATAAACAACAGCGACCAGACAAGTGGGAGCGGAGTAAAAGTAAAGTGAAAGAGATGATCAGAGAAAAGTTAGAAAACATGAAGTTAGCCTTTGTGGGAGTGAATAGCCTTAACAGTTAATATTTTAAAGTGAGATTAACAGTTTGATAGAGATAAGGAAAATAATTTGTCTTGTCAAAGGGTGTTCTAAACTAACTGATCCCATCTGTGTGCTCTTCAAGTGCTAATCACTCAACTTAGATCTAGAACATTATCTACTGAAAATAACTCAAGTGCTAATCACCCAACTTAGATCTAGAACATTATCCACTGAAACAAACTCATCAAGTACTAATCACCCAACTTAGATCTAGAACATTATCCACTGAAACAAACTCATCAAGTGCTAATCACCCAGCTTAGATCTAGAGCATCATCCACTGAAACAAACTCTTCAAGTGCTAATCACCCAGCTTAGATCTAGAGCATCATCCACTGAAACAAACTCTTCAAGTGCTAATCACCCAACTTAGATCTAGAACATTATCTACTGAACAAACTCTAAGTGCTAATCACCCAACTTAGATCTAGAACATTATCTACCTAAAATAACTCTTCAAGTGCTAATCACTCAATTTAGATCTAGAACATTATCCACTGAAACAAACTCTTCAAATGCTAATCACCCAACTTAGATCTAGAACATTATCCACTGAAACAAACTCTTCAAGTACTAATCACCCAACTTGATATAGTGCATTATCTACTGAAACAAACTCTTCAAGTGCTAATCACCCAACTTAGATCTACAGCATCATCCACTGATACAAACTACTTCAAGTCCTAATCACCCAACTTAGATCTAGAGCATCATCCACTGAAACAAACTCTTCAAGTGCTAATCACCCAGCTTAGATCTAGAACATTATCTACTGAAACAAACTCTTCAAGAAGACAGTTATTGGAAGTACAAGATACAACTGTGGTAACTCACGAGGCATAAAAAGCAATAAGTCACAGCAAGAGCACATACATATTTCTCTGAAAACATAAAGCAAACAAACCAATGAAGTCACAAATAGTTTGAAGTTGAAAGTTCGAGCATGCTCTAGTTCCTAAACTCAAAATTTTCAATCTATTTTTTTTATCTGTTTTAATTTTTACATTATAATTAGTTTGATAAAAAATATCTAACAATATATAAAAACACAAAGAAACAAGAAACTTAGCACTTACATTAGGCACTGAGGTCCATTTGCACTCAAATGCCATGCTTTGGTAACCATAGTTTTTCTATGTTGGTTGTCCAAAAAATAATATGTGTAGCTTTCAAAAATTCATCTTAGAAAACAAAAATAAACAAGACACTAGAATAGGATGTCCCAAAACTATTGTAATTTATCATGCTCTCAAACTAATCTGTTAATAAATTTAAAAAAATTCCATTACTGCTGGAAGCAATAATTTTACACAATGCCCATCAAGCTGTTTTTCAAATTATCATCTTTAACCATCAGAGATGAAAGTGTCCCTTTACCTAAAAATCCTGAAAATATTCGAAGCCAAGTAAGGGGGGTCCGGCACCCAAAATCCTGCATTTTGATGCATTTTAGTATTTAAAATTCACTTAAACAAGTTACCCCATTTTTCTTACATCAATGATTATCAAATACATGCGAGAAATATCAAATCTGATTCCTCTAGTTAATGGATAATTTTCAAGAGTGCATTCTTTGGAATTCATAATTTTCACTATTGGATGTCAAAACTTATATAAAATAATGCTTTTATAACTTACACTCAGTACTGCATATGTGTTTTTGAAATGTGTATGATCAAATGAGACTAAACAGTTCACACTATTATGAAATTGAATAGATTCATTATTAAAACATTGCTAAAAATAAATCAGACATATTTATTGTATAATCAAACTCATTCAGTTTACAAAAGATCTTATCAATCAGCCACATTTTTCTTGTAATTTGAGCTCATTCAGTATAAAATATTATCAGTTATCACAAAACTGAAGTGAAGAAAACACAAAAGGAATATTTCTTATAACCATGCCACTTCAAGGATTTCAAATCCATCAATAAGGCACTAAATTATACATATACCATGGAATGCACTGCAAATTCTGTAAAAAGTTCATAGTTCTATAATAATAAAAAAAGACAGTCTGCTTAGGAAAGAGAAAATCAGCTGTGACAGTGACACCAACAACACTAGATCTTTTTCTTCTTTGGTTTTTCAACATTGTTTCGTTTTCTCTTGCTAGCTCCCCTCTTTGACCATATTGCTTTTTTTAATGTTTTTAGCAATTGTGTGCACTGATTGTTTTGATCCATGTTTAGAATAAGCTGGATTTGGCAGTGCTTTTTCTTCTTTCCTCTCCCTCATTTTTTAGCATATCTGCCATAGGCTGTCTGCATGTGGTAGCACACACACTCTTGTTCACAGGATCCCTATGGTAATGACCAAGGCTGCCAGTGTTCTGTGCTTTTAAATCATATTTCACACTCTGAAATGAAGAATATGTCTGCACAGCCATCCTGTTTGATTTAGCATCAATGAGGTCATTCATAACGCTAAATGACTGTTCTATTTTGGGTCCAGTGAAAATATTAAGCCAAGCTCTTACTACCTTCCCAAGAGCTGGATAGCAAGGCATAACCTCTCTCTACCAGTGATCCAGTCGGGTGCTGTCATTTATCCCAGATAGGGCTGGATCTGTCTGTATTCTTGAGACTTCTCTCAAATACTGATCCTTTGATTTGCCTTTGATCAGTCACGTCATTGAATGATAATTAAGAAATTATTAGCGATTTCCTAAAACTCCAGTACAAGAAATGATTATAAACTTTAATAGATCTATAAAGTAAAATTTACTAACCACGTGTATACTGCATATCCTGGCCTGTCCATTTTCCTCACAAAGTCCAATAAAAAGTCACCATTTACATTTTTTTC